TGCCCAAATCGATCTACTAAGCACTTTTCGCCTGCTTATCTGATCGTCGATCGGTTAGTTGCACCAAATGTTTATAAAATATTGCAATAGTTCGTTGGAAAGTAAATAAAAACTGTAATTGAATATTGCACTAAAATCAAAAAAATCAAAAAATCCATTAAATTTTTATAGCTAATAAAATGGAAATCGCTCACACAAACCTTTTAATGCGTCAGCTCTTGTATGCTCCTCTGTTTATCCACTTGACATTTGAAACTCAGTTTTGTTTATTTAAAAAAAAAAACAATCCAACAGTTATGACAGTTGCTGTTGTTGTTGTTGGTGTTTGTGTTGTTGTTGTTCGTGTTTGCACAGTTGAAGTATTTGCTTTCAATAGTAAAACTTCAACATATTCAGCACTTTTAAAAAGCCACTTAATGTAGAAGTAATAAAATTTTATTTAAAAGCTTTTACATTTTAGTTTTTTTTTTATTTTCTCTTCGTTTTTAATGTGTTTATTATCTTTTTGTTTAAATTATTAAGAATTCATAATTTGCCAAAGCTAAAAAATTACGAAAAACAATTACACATTTCAAGATTAAGTAATTTCTATATTTACTCTTATAATATTTAAAAAAATATATTTTTATTTATTGTAATTTAAACACTTTTTGAAATGTAAACAAAACACAATTTACATCCAACAAGAATTATGACGTTTAATAATTATGCACAATATATCAATTGGAATTTTTTAACTGGCAATACTAGCACGTGAGCACTCACACAACAACACTAGTCACACTCTTCTAACACCAAATAAACAAATACCAATACTCTCGCATGCGAATTTCATTCAAATTCAAACAACAGAGAACATTTTGTTATGCATACATTGTGCTCCGCTATTACTCTTCTTCTTTTTCCCACCCACCCTTTACATAAAACCCATAAATGAGTCTGAAAACACTCCAAATTTCATAGATACAAAAAATACATACACAAAGTATTAAACCATAAAAAAAGAAAAAAATTTTAATCGAAGCAAACATGAAAACTACACAAGAATATGCAAGAAAAACTCATTAAAAACTGGGCGCGTTTTAGTTATTAAATTTTCTTTAAAAATTTCAATTAATTTTTTAACATTTATTTTTTTATTTTAAATAAAGTATTAGTGATAATTTTCAACAAAGACTTTACAACTCTTCGAGTAAAACGAAACTGCGACCACTGCACTTTCAAATTTAGATTTACATTCATACTTTTTTTCTTCTTCTTTGCTTACTTTTTATGTATCTTAAGGCAAACGAACTTTACCGTTTTTTAGCCATTACACATATTGTACAGACGTGCACTTGATTTATTTATTGTATTTGACACAGAATTGATTTAACGTTTTTTTCACATTTTATTAATAATTATTTAACAATAAAAATTAGATTTTAAATGCAAAACGCGTTAGATAAAGAATCAAAAATTCCAACCGGGAATACATCATCTACAAGATTTTTGTTACGACTGAATTTCATTTGAGAGTTTTTACATACATAATGTGTGAATGCTCTTTTCGACACTGAGATGAATTTACATTGTACCACTACACTCGCACGCTGTGCACATAGTCGAACTCAATATTCACTGCTTTGCAGTTTGAGTATTATTTGTGTAATAGCTTTTCTCTGTACTACTTCGCAAATACAACGATGCGTGCATGAAATGAGAGAGAACATAATGTAAAATTGAGCTTTTTACGTTATGCAAAATAAATTTAAAAAAATATTTCCGAAAAACTTATTAAATTGTAATTATATTTGATTTAATATTTTATTATGAAAGATGTTATATTTTTAATTCATTATTTTATTTTTGGTTAACAATCAATTATGTTACTTTTTTATTTAGTAATGTTTACCATATATACAGACTAGAGGAAGATGTTCTCGAGATGTCGAGATCTCATCTATTAACAGAGCTGTCCAAAGTACGGCCCGCGAATAATGTTTGTAGAGCCCGCGACATGTTTTTAATCTACCACAATTACGAAAATTTTCTTTTTGTGTACTGATAAAACGCATCCTTTTTTTTATGGTACACCAAATAAATAAATTTAAATTATTGAATTAATAAAACCAAATTTAACATTATAACCGTATTTTTTTTGTATGTATTTGTTTCTGCGTCCCTGGCCTTGATCGCAAAAAAATTTATCTATATAATTACGAATATCTTATGTTATGTTGAGGTTTTTCCGAGTTAATGCAACTAGGCACTTTTAATCTTTCTTAGCTGGGGAGTTTCTACAGAATCCCTCCCTTCTCTTTGACTAATTTATGTATTCTTCACAAGCTTCGCTGATTATTCGATGACTGATCTAAGATCTGCATACCATTCCATACGGCTAGTGACTGCTCTGAGATTAGATAGTGCTATGTTGGGCAGCCTACAATATTCCCGTATTGCTACAGGGCTCTGTCCCATATGTATTTTTTGATCTCAGAATAAACCCGATTCTGTTCTTAGCGCTAAGTTTATTGTGTTTAAGAAGTGACCGTTGGCAATGCCGTAACAACAAGTGGCCGTAACAACTACTTCTTTTGTCTTTTATGTGCTTGTGCCAAGTGAACCGCTTATCAAACGCGATTCCCAGATATTTGATGCTGTTCTTCTAAATTATCGCTATGTCACCAATTTTCACTTTCGGTGGATGCTACCTGTGTTTACAAGTTGTAAACAGGGCCTTAGTTTTCCCGTGGTTGATTTTAATTTTCCATTTCTGGAAGAATTCCAGAATGAGATTACTACATGTGAACCCAATAAAAGTATTGAATCTACTTAACTGTATAAGTAGTTCATATTACTTATATATGAATAGGTGAACCATTATCAAAATAAAATTCAAGGTATTAATACTTTCTAATATGAATTTTTTAAATATTGGTAATTGGATATTTGGATTTGGATATTGGTAATAAAAGTATTCATATTAATACTAAAAACAAATATTTCCAACGTTTTATAAACCAACGCTAATTAATTAGATATATGTTCTTATTCGTATTATTATTACTCATTCGTATTATTATTATACTTACTTACTTCCTTAGGGGGAGAGGTTAAGCATACATGATAAATGCGATAGAGAAACGACTGATCTGGCTGGCTGACTATGATTACTAGTTGCGGACAAGGACAACTCATGTCTATAATGGTTAGCTAAAAAAAGGAAGCAAGTATTTACTTATTTAATTTACCATAACAATCCATAATCAGGTTTGATCCTGACGCAGCACTCCTCTCCAGGCGCGTCTGTTTCATGCGCTTCTTTCATAGTTTTATAAGTGATCGGGTTTACACTGCATTCTCTAAGTTCGGTATCCCTGCTAAGTTAATACGACTGAATTAAACCATAGTTTTCACACAAAAAAAATGGTTGCTCATTCAATAAAATATGTAAGTTTCTTATTATACAATATATTCCTTATTATCTCTTTCTTCTTGAGAAATTTATGCTAAAATACTTTTCAGAAAAGCAAAAAAAAGGATTCGTCATCATATGGAAAAGCAATTGAATTCAATTTTCAGTTACTCAGTTGAGCCGCACTGAAGTTTTTACCTCAAAGGCTTAAATTTCAATTTAAAAAGTGCTCCACAACTAAGGTTTTAAGAACCTCTGGTATAAATGAATATATTTGGATTACAATAGCATACTTCTTTAAAATATTGTAACGTCATGAAATACATAGTAATATACTTTGTGCCGAATCGAAGTTTGGAGTACAGTACTGAAGTGTATACATTACCGTTTGTGGACGGTCATCGGGCTTTGAGCGTAAACCATTGCGTTTGATATTCTCGCATTTTTTCCTGCATTATTCATATATGGAATAATCACTTTTCCAGAGAGTCGTTTCATATTCTTTGTACGGCATTTTGGGTTTTAAGAATTATGCTTACAACAGTTTTATTTTGTCTCTATATAAAGACATTCTACTTGATTATTATGTTGTTTGAGTTCCATCATATCCATTTTTTTCTTTAGTCAAACTATCATTTGATAATTATTAGAAGACAAAAATAAATTGTAATGAGCCAAAATTCTTGTCCCTATACAAGTGCATATCAGTGCATTCCGGAGTCCTCCTCTTAAGAGATTAATACTCTTCAAACTATAATCACACACCCTGCACTTCTTCATTTTCCAACTCAGTAAACTTTGTCTTTTTATTCATAACCAATTAAATAAACCTTTCATTCATAGATTTATATTTTTCAATTTATTTTTGCAAATTCCATTCTGACCTAATGGTTTAAATTTAAAGTTTCAATCCGAAAATCATTTATATGAGGAGCAGTAATGTCGGGCTTAAAAAACTTTTTCAATGCCAATACAACAAAAGGGAGAGCAAATGTTAGTTTTAATAAATATAAAGATTTGTTGTTAAAAAATAATAATAGTTGTTTTATTTTTAAGGTTGCGAAAGCCACATATGCCTCCTTCGCCCTTCTATACTTATACTATAGACTGACAAGGAGTAGTAAAGCTGATGTGAAAGCCGATTGTAAGGAATGTAAAGACTCAACTAAGACCAATTCTAGTTGCCATACAGAACCCACTGAACCCACGTGCTCTTCAAATGCTGCTCCTCAGCAAAAATCAAGTGCATTTGATAAAAATGTGTGTAGTGATGCCTTCAAACATACTGGTGAAATCAATTCCTGTGGGAATGGAAACCATGGAAACCATGGAAACGGAAAATCCTGTCAAAAAGGACAAAGTTCGAAATGTAAGTCTTCAAATGGCAAAGGTTCAAAATCGAAAAATTGCTCAGATATGACAAACGGGGATACGGAAAGTT